GTCATACAAGTCTTTCCTAGGATGACATGCAACTCCATCTAATGCAGCACACACACATATATTCACAAGCTGCTACAAGGACGGTCGTGTCACAACACGTCTCACCATGGCACTTAGTGAGCTTCTTCTTCTCACAGTGCTTGATGGCACCCTGAATCCTCGACCTTATGTTCTGCTCTTGTCGTGGTTACTATTAATGGTTAGCTCGAGCACTGTTGTATCCCAGACACTCCTCCCACTCGAGAGGCGGCTTCCGCATCTCGGCTTCGGTTTTCCAAGAGTAGCCTTGGAGGTTCTTTCGCCACTTCACGGTCTTGGTGCGGAAGGTGATGAGGCAGTTCAGCTTGGCCTGTTCTGATAGGGATAGCAAGGCACCCTGAACAAGTCCAGTAAGGACCCTACATAAACACCACGAACACAAATAGCACCTTTGATAGTCTTATGCGGGGCTCCCTCGGCTGCCTGTACATTCCACGGACCCTGGATTAATGGCTATATAGATTCATTATAGGGTGGCCCAAGAACCTTTAACACCAATCCTTGCAGGCGGCCTCAATCGGCCCTGTTGCTGTCGCTGCTGCATGTGCAGGTACACAGGTTTTTAGACAGGGTTAATAGACTTCAGAGCAGCAACTATAGAGGGTTCGTTTCAAGGTTTCAGAAGGGCTTTGTATGGAATGCAAGAAGGCATATATGGGTTTAGGGTTTATACTTCGTGTCGGTCGGGTTACAGTCGGGGTAAACCCGCAAAACCCCTAACCTTAGAATATCTATAGATTCACGACTGCTATCAGTAACCGAAACCCTGAACTTCCTTAAATCCTGAGCCTATTCTACTCCACCCGGGCAGCCTTGTGAGTAGTGGGATCCCCCCCTTGGACATAGCATCGACCAATGAAGTCCCGGAGCAGGTTCTGCCGTTGGAAGTCTCCTTGCATAGAGGGCTATCGCATTTAGCTCCATGCCCCAGTATCTCCCATGGTTTGATGTAGTATTGGTACAAGTTTCGGCTTTACAGTTCATGGGTTTGCAAAGCTTCGTCGGGGTTCGAAGCGAGGTTGTAGATAGGCTTGTGGGTGCTGGCACGAGCTTCGGACAAGGAGGGCTTTCTTCAGCATATGGTTCTGCCTAAAGTCGAGGCTTATTGATTTCCGGTACAATATGGCTTTGGTGTACTATTGGCTTGCAACAAACCGCGCTTGCAATTCGGATCGACCGGCTGGTTTGCTTAATTTATACGATGTATACCTAATAGGGTTAGCGATAATATCTAGGATTAATATACGGTCTATTAAGAACGGACGATAAATTCATATTGTCATATGTACAGATGTATGTACTTATTCTCTGCGTCTTGTTTATAAATGAGACTTCAAGAGTTGGTAACTCAGATCTGTATCTTGCTTTGGGATTTTACTTCGAGTGCGATTCCTCGAGGAATCGCAACGAAGTAAAATCCCAAAGCAAGATACAGAATGTATGTATGCATGTTTACTATGTATGTATGTTTCTGTGTATGTGTGTATGTATAGTATGTATGTATGTATGTCTGTATGTGAGTACATGTGTGTATGTATACATGTGTGTGTGTGTGCACGCACATATCATGGACCCGAAAATTAACTCCCCTCCCTCCCCCCCTACACACACACACACCTTCACAACACAGGACTCCTGCATCCCACGCTTGTTTGATCTCTGCCAGGCAGTCTGGTGCCCGCGTGATTCGGTACAAAGCCCCCCAAGCGTTTGGATGGGTGGAGGAGTTGAAAGGTCCAGAACCAATCCCTTGCGGAGGGCCTGCGGGCTGCACAGCGAGCTGGGTCTGGGCAGGGGGTGGCAGCTGTTTGGCAACCGGAACGGCCAAAGCAAGCTGGGCTGCTGGGGCAGCTTGCGGGGTTGTTGCAACAGCAATGGCCTGGGACGGGTTTGGGGCCTGCAAAGCAGGCTGGGCTGACTGGGGCCCGGGTGTGTGGGCTTCCATCTTTGCCCGCAGCTTAGCTTTAGCATCATGAGCATCTGCGCGGTTTGCATCCGGCTTGGGAGCAGTGTCAGCCTTTGCAGGCTTGGGTGCTGTCTGCATAGATCGTACGGCCTCTGCTTGGGCAGAAGAGGCTTGCTCGATGAGCAAGCAAAGGTTGTGCTCGTGCTGCTCCCGCTCCTCCTGTAAGGTTGCCTCGTGCTCGGCCTGGCGCTGCATCATAAGCTGCTCCTGCCTCTCCTGCTCTGCCTGCAGTGCCGCCTCATGCTGCTTCCTGGCTTCGTCAAGGGCCTGCTGATGCTGCACTAGCTCCTGTTGCATTTGCCCTCGTAGCTTGCTCATCTGCTCGTTCATGTACTTCTCCAAGGCAGCCTGTTCTTGTTTCATCCTCTTGCTAAGCCCGACATCAAGAGCATCATCCTGGGGTGGGCGCTTCCTGGATTCCTCCTCCACAGCTTTTGCGTACTGCATGTTCGCACCGGGGAGAACCTGTGTCGTCTCGGATGTAGTGCTTCCACCGCAGCTCCCACTCGAAAATCCTTAACTGCTTTTAGCACAAGCACCACAATGGACATGCCGATCATACCGGAGCACAAGTTTATTGGATCAGCCGTAAAACCACGATGCAGCTGCCCCTTCGTGCGGAGGTACTCTTCCTTGAGAGCTTTGGAATCGGGCGTGTCACCCAAAGTCTTCCACAGCTCAGCCGTCTCGGGCGATAGACCCAAGAACCGATCGGGGTCATTGCTTTCACATGTCTCGTCCTGTTGGAATCAAACAAAGTTTTGAAGCGGAACACAACACACACACACACACACACATTGTGTCTGAATCCCCAGCACACTGCCTTGACCTTTGTGGGTGTGGCCATGGGATTCTGCTTCTCGAGGTAGTTCATCCCCCGGTACAGAGACTCGCAGGACATTCGATGCGACACCGTACCACAGCGAAAAAAAGCAGCCTAAGTTGAAACAACCTCCTGTAGAACCTGAGAACCCCTCTTCATATGACTAACATACCTATTCGTACTTTTACACACATATGGGTATGTCAGTGTACAGAAACAAACCTCATGCAGGTCCTTTGCTGCTGCTTCGAGCAAAGCAGCGGGATGAGGTCCAAGTCATAACAATAAAATCTTAGAAAGGCCGGGATTTGGTTTCGAGAAACCATAATGGGTTATCGCTTTTACAAGTCTTAAGTGGGATCATGTACATATATACATATTTGTTATGAACGTGTGTATATATATGCACATATCATACATACAGGGAAAGGATATATAGACACGTCATGTGTATAAGGGATCGATCGGGCAGCTGGTTGCTTCTCCGCATAGGACTTGACTAGCGGGGGCTACTTTAGCACTTCAAGGGTCTAGAAACCTTATATAGCTGGCCTTAGATAAACACAACACATGCAGCTATGAGGCCACTCCATAACAGAAGCTGGTTGAGTACATCCACATACCGCCCGATGATGGGTTCTGGGACACACCCACAGAGTAGCCCTGCTTACATCATTTATAAGGTTCGAAGGGTTGTATGGGCCTAGGAGCAACGGGTCTTTAATTGGTTCCATGATCCACCTGTTCTTGCCGGGTACTCAAAACCCTGTAAATAACGATATATGAGATGTTCTCGGAGTACACCCTCCATTAGGGCTATAGGGTTTGGGGCATCGGTTTGCTACATCCGGAGAAGACTCAATGAATGGACAGAGCCCCTGAGACACTGGTGCGTTCACGGGGTGAGTGGATACGACCACGACAGTGTCCGACCGGACATGCGATCAACTCCACGACTGCACGAACGATGCAGGGTTGACATTGGATCTGCGGCAGCGAGCCACACGAACTCTATGACGGCTCAGCAGCATCTGCAGCAGGGTGCTGATTCTGCAGCGTCTGCAGCAGGAAACTGCACAGAGGGTCACGACTCTGCAGCGTCTGGCGCCGCAATATCGGGTGCCGCACTGACGGTATGTCGTGACGGACGACTGGACAATGACAGGATCTATTGGGGCCCCGACCCATTCCCGAAACAAGTAGAAGCAGTTCTTCCTATACTCGCACCCCAACATCCTAAAGTGCATTCCACAAGCCTCTCGTTTAGGGTTATATAGGACTTGATATAGGGCTGGGGTTTTCATCCCCACGACCCTAGAATCTGCACTTAAAACCGCACGTGTGCAAGACCCATAGAGCCATAGAGCCCTATAGAACCCCCAAGACCGAATGTAAATAGAACATCAGTCCCATGGGGGTTCTCCAATGTAATTAATTACATCGCGGGTTCTAATGATGGGTTTGATCTGGCCTGACTGCAGAAGTGTACGTATTACTTGCCAGTAATAATTCGAAGCGGTGCCACACTTTCGGGTTTTGCGCTTGCACTACCTTTGAGAAAAGCCTAGTAACTTATTGGGACATGGGCAGGGTCATGATTTCAGGTTCCATTTCGGACATTCGGGGAGTTCTTTGGGGGATGACTAAACTGACCTCTGCCTCATCTTGTCTGAATTATATAGACCTTAGCAAAGTAGGATTTGTGGGTTTAATGTCTCCAAACACCCCTCGTTGCACGACATGAGCTGCCGGATGTATACAAATGAGCCCTTAGAACACTTTATTCGTACCCCTGGTACAAATAAGCTTTCTTTACAACACTAATTATAAAGCCCTGTATAGCAAATCCTGGACCCTTGATAAGTGGCATCACATAGAAGGTACCATCACAGGGAATTGAACAGCAACTCACTATAATATCCACTACCGAACCCGATTCAAACACAGAGCAAAATCATGCTCTGCGCTTGCCAGGGTGGCGCTGCGGTGGCTTTATCGGAGCCGGTCAGAATTATCTGGATTTATGGGTTTATAAAGGGCAGTTTCTACAAGGGCTCCTTGCTCGGGTTCGGGTTTATGGTAATCGGTAGATCTGGCTTCTAGGGCTTCCTAGATACGATTCGGTAGCTTAGGGCTTTCCGGTGTGACTTCTCGGGCGAGTTCTACGGTTGATGATTTATAAATCCTGCATTACCTTAAGGACCCATAAACTATGGGAAGTATTGTATATTCCTTATTATGATTCATGCAGGATTTATATATATCATCAACCGTAGGACTCTCGAGGTTTAGGTCTTCCAGGGTTTTAAATTACTGTAGTTCCCACTAAACTCCCCACCTCAGTCCTATAAAGCTGGTCAACATCCCAAAGCAGGCTAGAGCTACACTAAATCCTGTAAAAAGTCCAGGAGGTCTTAAACCAGGGTATGTAAGGGGCTCCTACTGAGTCTGGGTAGGTATGACTAGTGAAACAGCTGGTGTTCCTTTGGTTGTCCCGAGCCAAGCAAGTGATGCTATATAAAGTCCCGAACCCGTACCACCGACACTCCTATACTTGTCGCATCTAAAGGAATGATTCCAGAATCCTCTGAAACACCCCTCGACTAAGCAACCTTAAGGCTGTCACAGGGCTATAAGTCAATGGGTATGGTTGTACGTGTTCGATGATCTACTTACAGGACAACTTTTACAACCATCATAGATACCCCAGTACCCTCATTAGCCATATAAGATACTTCGTTGACTCATGTAGGTATATGTATATATGAGCATATATCCCATAGGGAAAACCTCAGTCCCTTCAGTGCAGGAAGAACACACGGGGAGGGCGGTAGCACCCGAGCTGGTAGGTGATGTCTTCGTAGGCAATGGATCTCCTGCAGCGATTGGGGTCAGTTGGTTTGTCCTGTATGACTATTGAAAAAGGGATCCCTTAGCAGGTATGGTGTTTATGATCAGCTAGACATATTAGACTACAGAAGCAATTCGGCTTAGGTCGTATTCTGGGTAAACCAAGAGGGTGGATTGCAAAAATTGGTAAAACCAGTTTCCTTAGGCCCGCTGCTGGGGCGTAGATTTTCTGTTGCGTTCTTGCGCGTTCTGTTGGCTCTTTTTGGTTTTCTGGTGGCGGTTTTTGGTTTTCTGTTGGGGTTCCGTTGCCTAGGTTTTTGAGCTCGGAGCACTGTTTTTGGTTTTTTCAGGTCCTTCAGGTTCGGGAGGGGCATTTTTTGTGTTTTTCAGGTTCCTTGTGTTGCTATATGCTTATTGGGATTGGGTTTTTTTGGGTTATGGAAGCTTGAGCTTGGAGATTCCGGTGTTTGGGTGTCTTGTTGCTTGGCTCTCGGGTGGTTTGTGCCAGGGCTTCAAGGTTCTCAAGGTCTGGTTTTGGTGTTGCTCAGAACCACACAATATATATATATACATATATATGACATGTAGTGATCAAACCTCTGGACGCTTTGGCCGATTACAGTGGCTACTGTTGTATACACACATCGAGTTGGCTGGGGTCTACTGGGCATATGATACCTATAAAGTTGTATGGCTGTTGGGGCCAGCCCGGTTCGGATAACACACGATACTCGAGTACAGCTGTCTCAGGGCACGTTATTGCTGTGCACCCGATGTAGGCTAATTACTATAAGTCCCCCGACCCTCCCACTATGTCTTCCTAGACGTCTGGGCAGAAATCTACCCCGGGTGTTCGTGCGAGCATGCATTCAAAGCCTTCACGGGGCCGTAAGGTAGTTGCAACTTTCTGGGGTTCGTGAAGAAAAGCTAACCTTCAAGAGAAGTACTACGAACGAGGCACAAAGCCCGCAGGAATTCCTCCTAGCCTGGATCTAGCCTTTTCTGCAGCCACACCCCTGCAACATCAAGCTCAGCAGACGAATTAGGGCCTCCTGCAGCAAGAACTACGGCTATGGCTAAAACCACAGCACGGCTATGGCTCCAACCACAGCACTGGCTCATGCGATGCCTAATGCACGCTTGAGCTCCTGAGGTAGATTCGTGCTTTTGCTTCGGAGTAAGTATACCACGACCTCATCCATCGCTGCATCCTCCATCCAGTACTTGGATGCGTGATCTTCATAGTACTTCAAGGCCCCGAGAAGCAGTTCCATTGAAGCATCAGGAGGAAGAGCCTCTCACCATTTTAAGTTTTAGGAGAAGGATCACAACACCTGACATACATAGTTATCTTGCAAAAGTTCACATGTACGTATGTATGCATGCCTGGGTCTGCGTATGTCTGTGAGTCTGCAAACATACATTTGTCGGAGGCTACACATGTATAGGTATTTATATGTATATATACAGATAGATATACATAGAAAGGCAGGTAGACGTATGTGTGCCTGCATGCATATATATATATATGTATGTATGTATATGTATACATCTATATGTATGCATATTCATATTGTCATATGTACAGATGTATGTACTTATTCTCTGCGTCCTGTTTATAAATGAGACTTCAAGAGTTGGTAACTCAGATCTGTATCTTGCTTTGGGATTTTACTTCGAGTGCGATTCCTCGAGGAATCGCACTCGAAGTAAAATCCCAAAGCAAGATACAGAATGTATGTATGCATGTTTACTATGTATGTATGTTTCTGTGTATGTGTGTATGTATGTATGCATGCATGTATGTATGTATGTATGTATATGTGTGTGTGCGGGTGTTTGCCAATGTGTCTCAATAAGAACCTGCTGTTGATACAGTTGGTGGTGGGTAGGGAAACTTTAGTGGTTTTGCCTAAGCACCCGCCTCTATATGATACACATGCACTATATGCACATAAATGTAAGTATGCAACATATATGTAGTTACATGTACATACACATGTCCGTGTGTGAAGCAACTCCTGCTTAAACTAGATCTACTAGTACCCAAACAGAAGCTAGAAGCCTGATTACAAACCCTAACAGTTATAAGGCTATGGCTCTTGGGGAGATGTAATCTTTTAATGGGTCTTATACAAGGTAGCCTTCGGCTGCCGCTGCGGCGCTAGCGACATCTCCGGCATCACCAAAGCCACTGTCTG